CACCCCCCAGCACCACCGCACAGCCTTTTTCCGGGGGACTGCGCACACACCCACCAGTGATGCCTGCCGTCGCCCAGGGTCCCGGAGCCCTGAGCTTGAGAACCTGGAAGTCTGGACTTTGATTGGCAGCTCTCCTGTGTCACCTCTCTGAGAAACTGTCTCGCTTACAAAGTGGACAGGACTCCCCTGAGACCTCGTGGAGCTGCTTCTCATGAGGGGCCTCTCTACCTAGATTATCCCCGTCTTCAGGAGACGGATCCCTGGTGAGACAGGTGGCAGGACGAGCCAGCATGGCCCAGACTGGCTACTGAACCCCATCCCCTCTAAGCATCTTAACGCAGAACCCCCGCTGACCTGGGAACCACAGCGTGGCATCTCTGGCAGTTTGACTGAAATGCGGCCCCGCAGGAGTCAGAATGGGGGCGGCGGGGAGGGGGGCGCAGAGCTCCCGCTCCTAAAGTTTGGGGCACCCCCAACGCCAAGCTCCGGTGCTGTGTGGCTGGGGTGGGCGGGCTAGCCCGCGGGCGTGTCCACTTCATTAGGTGCTGGGAGCCGCGAGGGGCTTTCATGGAACAAGCCACGCTCAGCACCTGGTGCCTGGTGCACTCAAGGTGATTGGGGCTGTTGGACCTGTAGCTGCTCGCCACTGAGCGAATGGACGCTGCCGGCCTCCCTCGCCGATCCAGGCGGGTTTCCGCTCCGACACCGGGAGGCTGTGTGGCGGCACCGGGTGGGAGTGAGCACGGAAGCCTCCGGGGGTCTGACCGCCCCGGCTCACACCTGCCGTCTGGCCACAGACCGCACCGCGAGGAAAGGGGCGAGGCTCGACCTGCAGGCGGCGGCTGCGGGGGACGGAAGGACCTGGGCGGTGGGCTCCGCGGTCCCTCCCCGCCCTCCCGGCCCGGGGCCGGGCGCTCCCCACTGCCCGCTCCCCCGCAGTGCGCGTAGCCGGCGCGCGCTAGGACCGCGGCGCGCCGCCCTCCGCCGCTATAAGAGGCCGCGCTCGCGCCCCACGCGGAACCCGCGGCTCAGACCGGCCCCGGCGTCCCGACTCGCCTGGAACCCGAGGCCGGACCGGCCGCTGCGCCACCGACGCCGCCCAGGGCCTGTGAGGGACGCGCGCCCCGGAGCCCCCGCCGTGGGCACCATGGGCGCTGCCCAGTCCGCGTCCGAGGAGATCCGGGAGCTCGTGGGCAAGACCGGCTGTGAGTATCGCGCGGGGCGTGGGCGCGGGGACACGGGCGGGGGCCGCCGGCGGGTTCGCGCGGGAACCCCAGCC